ACCTTTTGGTATTTCCTAGTTCGTCCAATACTCTCATAGATCTCGTTTTGCCTGTTTCTCATTTTTTTCCTCCAATTTCACGATCTCCCTATTTTTCTTTCTAACTTATCTATTTAAAATAAAATAACCCTAATTATCATTTTAATAAATCTCACAACACCCCACCTTTTAATACTACCACCTTTTCTTCCTTAATTTTAATTAAAAACTATTATTCCTCCCCAAACTAATAATTCTCATATTATTTCTTAATTAATTTAAATATTAACTAATTCTCAATAAAAAATCCTCCACTCAATAATTAAATAAATAAAATTTTAATATTTGTTTAATTAAATAAAAGCACATCAAAATTCAAATAATTATAAAATAAAATAATATTAGAAATATTAAAATAATACTAATAATATTAAATTAAAACATGGGTGTTACAATGTGGGAAACTCTCAACGACACTTTCATATTCTTGTATATTTTGAACATTGCACGATCATAATAGATATGATGAGAGAAGCCAATGTCTAACAACTAACCATTCGATTTACCAATCATGTTGATTTCAATGATCAAAGCAATAAATTGATTACCAGTCAGGTTAACATGTGCATTAGGAACATCACAAGGTTTAAGCATGATCTTACATTTCTTAATAATATGATGTAGTTTTTCACAATTGAACCAAGAGAAAACATGAGTCTCATTTCATTTATGGTGGTGATTATTTCCTATCAATTGGAGTAATTGGGGTTCTTGAAGGGTTCTCATTCTTAGTTCGGTTCACAAAATTGTGATTCCGATTCTTTAATCATTTTCCAAATGGCTTCAGAACTACACCAAATTTCTTTTTGTTGTTTTTAACAACCAAGACTTTTTCTTTTTGATCTTGTCTATGAAATTCTTCTTTGACTCGAAGGTAAATAATTAGACTCTAAATTAAAAATTCTTTTGTTTTTTGGTGAAGCAATTTTTTTAAAAACTTTTAAACTAGGTGGCAATTTGTCAATAATAAAAGCAATTTGAAACTATTCATCTAAACACATATCTTTTGTAATGGTCTAATAATAAATCTTTTGAAGTTCGTAACATTGAGTCTCTGCGGACCTTTCATTTATACCATCTAATACTTTAGGTAGCATCTAACGACATACTTATTTGCTTAAGCTTTTTTAGTGGCATACTTCTTTTTCAAAGTTTCTCAAACCTATTTTGTAGATTGCAATTACAGTAAGAATTATGCAAATCATATGCGAGTCTATTGTATGATTTTGTAGAGGTAATCATTCTCTTTCTATAAGATGATTTCTTTTCTATGATGGAAATCGTTCACTTTAATCTTTGCACCAAATTCAGCTTCAACACTATTAAGTGTTCCATGTGAATTCACATATTTCTTATTGTTAATTTGCTCGATTGATCCATAAGGAAAAATTAAAATGTCATTAGTCAGAACATTGACAATCTTTTTTCATAAAAATTGTAAATTTTGTTGCCAACGTTTGAAGTGACTTCCCTCAAACTTGAATAGTATATCATAGACAACAGCTGCAGAAGCACTAATAATTTCTTTGGTAGTCATGACACTTTGAAACATCTTAAAATTTTTGAGTTACGATTTTGAAAAATATTTTCACTGAATAAATTATCGGATCGAGTCGCAGACTAGGTCCCTCTCTTTAAGACGTTTCATGGCACTGCCCAAAGTTATACAAAGCAGTCACTCAATCACACCACCTCCAAGGTAAAATTTTCAAGTTCTATATTATACAATTACTACTTGCACGGTAGATAATTGATCTTAAGTACACCATCTAATGGTTCAAAAACCAGTCAAATATGGTATAAATACCACTAGTAGCATCTAGTATTTAGATCAATTGTAATAATTTCTCAAACGATGAGAAATTCAAATAATTCTCAAAGCGAATTCAATAATGGTCATCTGATAACTCAAAATAATTTATCAATTAAGGAGAAAATTAATTAATTCTCTAAAGAGAATCCAAAAATAATACTTTATATTTTCTCAACTCAAATTAGGAAAAATTAAAATAATTCTCTAATTATAATTTAAGAAAGTACTCAGAAAATTCAACGAGTAGAAAGAATAGAGGAGAAGTTGATGCTTGGACAATTCAAAAGACGCATAATTCATAAAGAGTGAGGAAGGAAAAACTCAAAATAAATTTTTGATGAGTTTTTGAATGAAACATGTGAATTTCTTATTTAGTTAAGTAAGCTAACCAAGGAATAAAAGCTAAGTGATGAGAGACTTAAGAAATTTTTTCACATAACACACAAACACACAAAATTTTCTAAAAGTGTGAGAATTAAACAAATTTTTTTCAAATTCATCAAATTGGAATATTTTCATGTTCTAACAAAATGTCTTAAGGTTTTAGGGGAGGTGTGATGTCTCTCTCTTTTTTGTGATCGAAAGTGTTGACTTGATGTTTCTCGTAACATTCTCACAAATTCTTTAACAAATGGTATTAGAATTTCAGTTCAACTTGATGATAAAATTTGGACGAGACTCTAGTATTATATCAAGTGCTCTGACTTGATACATTCATATTTGAGGACACATTATTGAATTCAAGTTTATATGTCATTAGTGGTCAGTCTTATATTATTTATGAATGATTAGTCTTTCTCTTTATTGATCCTAAAACATTGACTCGTTGTCTGTTTCCAACACTCTTCCAAAGTCTCCATCGCAATGTTATCAATAATAAGACGTCAATGCCCTTTCAATATAAAAAATTAAAATTTGCGAGGTGAAAATCACTGCACAACTCTTTAAATCATGCAACAACTCAAAATTTAAGAAACAGATAAACACTTCGCAAAAAAGTTAGTCGCAACGTTACTAGATGAAAATCACGCTGCAACGTTGCTAGGTGTAAATCACGCTACAACACTCTAAGTTAGGTGATCAGAGCAACATGTTAAGTTCGAAACAGCGTGTTTGATGTAAGTGGTGGTATGATGCATATCACATTTTATTTGCTAGGTGAAAATTACCCCGTGAAAAATACCTCGCAACTTTTAAAATATAAAATTTATTTTAATATTTTTTTATTTTTACTTATTGTTTTTCTATTTTATTTTCTTAAAAAATAAAATACATCATTACAACTACCTCTTTTTAGGACATATAATATATATATATATATATATATATATATATATATATATATATATATATATATATATATATATATATATATATATATATATATATCATTTTTCTTCTCTACACAATAGAACCTCCATAAATATATAGCCACCTTTATACTTTGAACAACTATGACAATACCCACTAGAAGATTAGATGTGGTAAATAGATCTATTTTGGAGAACGTTAAAAAAATTGATTCCGGTTGAAAAGAGAGGAACGAAAGAGAACAGCGGAAAGATTAATTGAATTTTTAACTGAAAGCAAACAATTTAAGATGAAGGAAAAGAACGTGGATAGATGGCAATGTTAGAGATACAAGAAAGAGAAAGAGAAATCTGAACAGTCAAAAAATATTAAAAGAAAATTTATTAATTTTAAAACATAAATTACATTTTTATCTTTTAGTTTTTACCTTTGAAAAGATTAAAAAAAAAAGGATTTTTGATCCAAATGAAAATGTGTTCATTGTTAAAATGAATCTTTATAAAAATGAGTAGGTCTATTGTAACAAATATATATATATATATATATATATATATATATATATATATATATATATATATATATATATATATATATATATATATATATATAATATATATATATATATATATATATATATATATATATATATATATATATATATATATATATATATATATATATATATATATATATATATATATATATATATTAATAATTTGTTTTATAATATAAAAATTAAATTGCGATTTTTTTATAGTAATTTAGCTGATAATTCATAACCTACCAATTTCTCTCTATTTTAAATAGAAAATCCTTAATCAATGAATAAATTTTTTGTTTTATACATTCTCTCCTCTCCCATCTTTCCTTTACCTTCCTTTGGTTTCAACACTACACACAATTTATCTGTTGTTAGGATAGAGATAAATACTTTGACCTAAAAAAAACAAAATCTCAATATTGAGCTTTCTTTTCTTTAGTCTTCAACTATATGTTGGAAAAATTGCATTTGAAAATCCATCCTCTCTTTAAGTATATTAATACAGTTGTTGGGTTCTATCACATAGTGCTAATCATACACACACATCACTATTAACAAATCAACAAAATTATTTGATTAGCATTTTACATATATTTAAGTACTTAATCGCAAATCCTATAAAAAAAAACCCAGTCATAGATAAACTGTTTGATGATATTAAATATGTCTGATAGTTGTTTAGAAAAGTGATGTAGACATCAGTATCAATGTCCTTATAATTTTAAATAACCAAATTGATGCATGGTAATTAATCATGATTTATTTCTCTTCTAACTCACCATAATTAAAGTTTTTGAAGTATCTTCAATACTTAAACACTTTAAACTTAATTTCAAGATAAAAAAACAAAAAAAATAAAAAAAAAAAAAAAATATATATATATATATATATATATATATATATATATATATATATATATATATATATATATATATATATATATATATATATATATATATATATATATAAAAGCAAACTTAATAACAAACTAAGTCACCGATGATCAACTATAAGTACTTTCATTAAATGACACCACATACTTATATTAAAAACATTAATTAAATGACAAAATATAAAATTAACAAAGCGAACTCCACAAATATAGATAGGTCCAATCAAAAAACAATTCGACCAACTCAAATTTAACAAAAATTTGAGTTTGAATTCTATTGACTGAATCTAAGATCTTTTAAATACTGACGAATTTTTATAATCCTAATAGAGTAAATTTTATTTTTAGAGAGTTTCATTTGCAAGAAACTCTACTTATTCCTTAAAGTACAAACTTGAAACTTTTCAAGCTAACATAATAGCACAATTATGAATAAAAGGATTAAGATTTCCACTACCACACACAACTTCCTTCCATTCTAAAACCTCAGAATCATGATGAGGCACACAAGTAAAAATCTTCATAGTTGTATGTGAACAAGCATTAGAACTAGCACCAATAACAAGCAATTCATTTCCCAAAGATTTGAATGCTATCCCCCAACCAGGTATATCAGCTCTCACAGGAACAAACCCTAATTTCTTCCACAAATTCTTACCTTTCACATAAACCTTAACCTCGTTCGATGAAGCATCACGCGCGTACAATTCATTGTTAACAACGGCTATAAGAGGCGGTGATCCTGAACTCGAAAGAACTATATCTTTCAACATGTTTGGAATCAAGTTCCATTTGTTGGTCTTTTCGTCAAAGAATTCACCGCATGTTAGATTCTCTTTTTCATCTTGTCCTCCAATTACATAAAACTTGTTGTCCAAGTAACAACCCGAACAACATTTTCTCTTTTGGTTCATGTTTGGGAGTTTTTGCCATGTTTGGTTTTCTGAATTGTATTTTTCAGCTGAGTTTAAGACTTCAATAATGCAGTTTTTTGTTTTAAGTCCACCAGCAATATAAGCAAAAGTGTTAGATGAAGCTGATGCAAAGACACACCTTGGTGTTATCATTGATGGACCTTTGAACCATTCATTTGTTGTTAGTTCATATCTCCATATAACCGCTCCATCAATCTCCACACCTGTTCAAAACAACAAAAGAGACATTTAAAGTCCAAACTAATGATTCAATTCAATGACTAGAATGATTAACTATAGTCTCGTTAAACCAGCACAGTTGATAACTGCAGAGACATTTGATTGCAGATATGCGAAACAATACATACCTGAAACAAACAAATGTGTGCCAGCAGAAAAGGTCTCTTTAACAACACATTGAAATTTGTAATCAGATGGAATAATTGGCAATTTCTTGCATGACTTGAACTCAGCATCAAACACACACCAATTCCTCTCACCACTTGCCAACATAAAAACTACGGGTTCTTTCAACCCTATCATACTCCTTATCTTATAAACTTCACCACTCTTCATTACATTCAAATACTTCTTGTTTAAGCAACACATTTTCCAGTATTTCGATATCGGAAACCTTGACAATATCATTGTCTCTATCTCATCACTGAGATATGGTAAGGGTAGAACATAATCTGCATCCTGCGGTTTTTCACCTGAGGAGTAACCATTGTCACTAGAAAGTGACAAATCTAGAGTTCTCAAGGAGTTTGGTGAATTTCTACAAATTCCACCATTATAGAAACTCCACATAGGTAATGATCTTTTACTAGACACACTATAACTCATTTTCATGCAAATTTTTTTCTTTTTCTTTGAATGTTTTGATGAACAAAAGGCTTCACAGTTCACACCTTATTGCTAAGTATCTGTAATAATAAATCGTTTTCATAAGTTCTTTCAAATACAGTAAATAATCTCAAATAAATCGATCTAAATAGACTCTAGAAATATAATCCGAAAAGATACATACCTTAGAAGACTTCACATCATGAGATTGAACATGCCTAGATTCATAAAAAAAAAACATTGATTTATTTAGGGTTTGTCCATATTTTCTTAGAGTAGAAATGATAGAAGTGAGTTGAAAGGAGTAAAGATTAAGCCATTAAGATGGATCAAACATGAAGATGCATTCCATTTTTTGTGTTAGGAAAATAAGTGCTTTAAGTTAAGTAAATAAGGTGTGTGGATTAGAGATTAAAATACCCTGAGAGAATTAATATTTTATAATATGTGTCATCATCATGACTATCATTGAGTACACTACCACACAACTATCGTTGTCATTCTTTTTCTTTTTTAATTTAAAAAAAAAAGAAAGTAGAATGAATATGCATTAAAGAGAAAAAGACTGTGGTGATTTCATAGTTCACATAGTATAGTTGAATCAATGGTTTTTCAGCACTGTGAGAGAAAGTTAAAATAAATAAATTAAAGAATGAATAAAATATTGAACAAAAGAGAAAGGAGAAAAAGATGAGGCACAGTTTATGCATCTTTATGTTTTTGGTGATTAGTTAATTTTTTCCTCGTTTTGAGTGAGTATTGGTTTGGTGCAGAAAAGGAGAATCTGTTGATACATGTAATGTTAATTTTAAATAAAAGTTTGTTGCGGCAGTTTAGACCATATTAGCCTTTTTTTATTAGACTAATTTTATTATTAGACTAACAAGTTTGTACTATTGGAATTAGTCTTGACTTGAGGGGTGTTTAAAGAGTCCGATTTTAATTTAGGTTTATATATAAGGGTAACTTTTAATTTTGTTTTTGAATAATCACTTTTTTTTTTAATTGTTGAATAACCATCATCTATATAATATATTAAATCCACTACATCAAATATTATAATAACACATCATCTATTATAACTTTAACTCATCATTAAATATAATTTTAAATTTGTGTGGCACATTCTAAAACTCATTTTCAAACAAATCAATCATTAATCCAACTATATATATTTCTTTAAATTAAAAATATTCTCTCAATTTCAAATATAAAAGAGATGTAGAAATTTAAATACAATAAAATATTTTTTATTTTTCAGAAATTATACCAATTAAAGTAACACTTTAAATAAATATTTTTTTAATTTTAGAGTAGTTCTTACATAATTTTCAAGTATAAATCTCTTTAAAATTATTTAAAATATAATATAGTATGCAATAATTTTTTACGGTGTCTATATATTTTACTACTATATTTTTTTATATAATATCAAATAATAAACTAATGACAAATAACAAAATACTACACAAAATAGATAATAGAATTCAAACACAATAAAATGCCTTTATCTTATTTTACACAAAATGGTCTAACAAGTCAATCATTACTCCAACTATGTATATTCCTTTATTTTAAGAATATTTCTCTCAAATTTCAAAAATAAAAGAGATGTCAAAATCCAAACACAATAAAATATTTTTTATTATCCTGAAGTTATAGCAATAAAAATAACACTTGAAATAATTTTTTTTTAATCTTAAAGTAGTTTTTACATAATTTTCAATTATAAATCATTTTAAATTGATCTTAAAAAATAATATAGTATGTAACAATATATAAAGTTTGACAAAATAGACATAATTTTATAAAGCATTGAAAGTTTTATTTGATAATAATTATAAATAAACTTTTAATTTTATTTAACACTAAAATAAATAAATATATTTAACAAATTAAAGTAAAATATTTAAATAAAAGATAAGTGCAAAAGAATATTTCAAATATAAAAGAGATGTGGAAATTCAAATACAATAAAGTATTTTATTCTTCTGAAGTTATATCAATAAAAGTAACACTTGAAATAAATATTTTTAATCCTAGAGTATGATCGTACATGTGATCAGAACTTGAAAGTGGATCGAAGGATGATGTCTGATTTGCTGGAAAGTTGAGGAGAATGGAGGGTTGTACCTGCAAGGCACTCCGACGATCAAGTAAGAATGGGTGCAAAGAGATACAAGTAAGATATTAGGGTTTAAGGTTTGAATATTGGATACCTGGCCCTCACAAGTGTGAGGGTTTATATAATACCCTCGACACATAGCCATTGGTTCCTATTTTTGGGCCTAGATATTAGGGTCCACAAAAATAGGTAACTATTAAGACTTGGTCAAAACAGGTAGTCGTGTCCGTAACTAACCGTTGCATCGAGCAAGGGTGGTGTTATACCCCAAAATTTGCCCTCCCATATTCTTCAAGAATTTGTCAAGTCAAGGTCACAAAATTCCCCAAGGGTTGTGCAGTGCAACAGTCTCCCATACAGTCAAAATTAGGGTTTTGAGTTTGATCAAGAAAAAGAAGTTTTCAAAGGCTCAATCAAGTCTCATATGCTTACAAACATGGTCAAGCATCCCCATATCAAGTTTCAAGGCATTCAGCTCAAGATTGCACAGTCAAAACCCTAAATTGCACTACAGTCAACTGTAGGGGCAAAATGGTCATTTGACAGCCAAAAGTTCAAATTTTTGGTCAACATATCATTTTGAAGCCACAAACATCATTTGATCAATGCTTGATCATGATTCTCAAAGTTTGGCTCAGAAAATCATCAAGATGCAGAAGTTGCTATATTTGGACAGCTGAAAAAGTCAACTGAAATTGACCAGGGCATAACTTTCACATGGATTATCAGAAAAATTCCATCCAAAGCTCATTTTGAAGAGAAAGACATTTCCTACAACTCATCTTCATACTTCAAGTCCAAGAAATGCTCTCACAAAAAGTTATCAATTTCAACATTATAGGTCATTTTCAAAAGTCAACAAAAAGGGACTTTAAGTCAAAGACCATAACTTGAGATTGGTAAATCAAAATGACATGGGACCAAAGACATTGGTTAAAGGACTCAAAGACCTTTCCAAAATGTCCAAGAACATGAGAAAATCTTAAAAATTGAGCAAGTTATGCCTTGTAGAAGTTGGGAAATTTTTGTGAAATGGCAAAAGTCAATTATCTTTGAAAATCCAATTTTGACAAAAGGGCCCCATTTTTCTCACTTTGTCCATCCTTGTCATGCCACACACGTGGCCCATGGTTGATTTCAAGACCAAATGTTGACTTTTTCATTTTTATTTAATTTTTGATGATTTAATTCATTTAATTCATTAAAAATTCAAATAAAATTTAAAAGTCAATGTAGTGGTGTCAAATGAATTTGGACAAGTTCTATACATCATGAATCAACTCAAAAATCAGGCCAAGGTTCATTTTCATACTAAGTCTAGGTTTTGGCTAGAATTTAGGAAAAAATGGTTAATGAACAAACCCTAATGCCAATTCTTTCTCAAGCATGGATTAAGGGGAGTTAGCATGCCTATTCAATTCCATAAGGATCATTGAGTCAAACCCTACCAAGAACATAGCACAAAACTCGTTCAAAGTCCATTTTGCAATTTGAAAATTTGGCCATAAAGTGCAAATCTGAAATCAAAGAAAGGGACCTTCTCAAGCCAAAATTTTGATACCATTAGCATTCTGAGATCATTCTGAACGCGTGCCAATCATTGACATCCACTAAAACCTCAAGAACTGGTAGTTAGAATCAAAACTGAACCTTGAAACTTTTGAAATCGTGCAGCATGATTCCATCATCCATTTGCGTTTTTCTTTGTTGATTCATGTTCATATTGCTATTTCTAAGCTAACCACAACGTTTAATTACATTATTTTGCTGTATACAAGAATCTACCATGTGCATTTTTTAGGGTTTCCAGCTTCTTAAATTGGGGCTTTTGTAAATAGGCAAAATTAGAGCTTCAGAACCACACCATCACACTCCATGCATCTGGACGAAGAGAATGGGATGCTCGCGCCCAATTTCTGATTACCACAGCCCTATTCGCTATTTCCCCATAGCCACTCTAACCCCACGGTTGCAAAACCGTTGCTAACTTGTTTTGTTTACAGGGACGTGAAGAAGATAAAGACGTGGCACGCTGTAACTCGCCCATTCAAAATTCGCGCCATTCATCCACTAGCGCGTTGTATTTATTTTATATGATTTATTTATATATTATATATCAAAGTGAACAAATAGCTCAGTTGGCAAGTTGTTAGCGTGTTGACCACAATGACCTGGGTTCAAGTCCCAGGTCATGCAATTTTCCAATATTATTTTTCATTTCTAATTCCTATGCAGCATAACCTTGAGGACTCACCATGCTCCATCAAAATGCGCCATCCACGTGTCCCAGAGCACTCACATCAAGGGCCAGGATTGGGAAGCATGCTGCACTTCAGTCAAAGGCATCTCACTGGATCAGAAAGTCAACCAATTCTCACAAAAATGGGCCAGGCCTTTCTAATTAACACCCTCCAATTCTGGGGTTTACCCCCCCCCTGGTTTGCCCATTTGATTTTTTTTCTTTTTTATCTTTAAATCATTTATTTCAATTATTGTATTATTTTAATTACTTGTTTTATTTAATTTTAATCAAAAAAATATAAAAGCATTGAAAAATGCAGAAAAGACAAAAAAATGTAATTAACTTTGATTCTTTTTTTTTAATAAATTAAAATGTGACTCAATTAGTTTAATTAGGTTTTAATATTCATTTTAATTCTTTTTTCATAATAAAAAATCCAAAAAATATAAAATTAGGGTAATTATTAATTTCTCATATCCTTTTTTAATTCTTTAACCTTTTTCTCACAATGTTAATATTTATTATTTATTTTCTATAAATCAAAATTGTACATAATTAGTTTAGAATTTAATTAGGTTAGAAATTAAATCTTTTTTTCATAATAAACTTAAAAAAATGATAGAACTAGGATTT